AAAAAAAAAAAAAAACATTGAATTTATTTTTGTGCACTGCACTCCTCCAAATGTTTCTTTTTCTGTATTATTTACGTCGTCTCAAGCCTCGTAGTAAGTCCTCCACTTCATTTTTTGCCTAGTCGAGGTTATCATCACCTTTTCGTGCCTCTTCATTCTCTGCGGATGCCTGTGATGGATTTCCCTCCGCCGCCTCCTCGTTGCCGCTGCCCGCTGACTTCTTCTCTTCGGTGCTCTTCTTCTTCTCCTCCTTCGGCTTTGGCGGCGCCGGCCGCTGCACGACGGCCCGCACCCCCTCCGCGACGCTGTGCAGCTTCTCCTGCAGCATCGCCCGCGTGATGGTCGGCGCCGCCGTCTTGGGCGCCTGCAAGTACTTCCCGACCTCCCGCTCCGCCCACGCCAGCGCCTCGTCGCACGTCGCGGCGGCGGCCCGCAGTTCCTCCTCCGTGATGTGCTCCATCTTGCCAATCGCCTGCAGCGCCGACTCACGGGCCTTGTTCACATCGTTCTTGAACGTCGTCAGGGCAAAGGTGACGTCCTCGTAGTTCAGGCGACGCGCGCTTGCAGAATCGCCAATCTCGCGCAGTGTATTCACACGCTCCTGGTAGGCAGCGAGATCTGCATCGGCACCATCATCATACAGCCAGTTCTCGTATTCGTTACAGAGTTGAACAAACTTTGCTTGTTGATCCTTTGTTACGTATTCCGCAAGCACACCTCCTTCAGCGATGCGAGGACGATTGTCAAGAATATAACTTTCCAATTCATTTTTGCTTTCACGTGTTTTGGTGAGCAGTAAGTCACGATCATGCATCTCTTGCTCCTGTTTTTGGAACAATAATACCATTGAAGGAGGAAAACCAACAATATCAAGACGTGGTGTAACACTGAGTTCCACTCGTCGTTGTTTTTGCTTCTTTACCATCACCTTCTCAGGTACCTTCTTCTCACCCTCAGTCTCTTCATTGGCTCCGTCATTTGTATTCTTGCTGCTATCCTTCTTTTTATCATCATCCTCTGTTGCAGGTTCTTCCACTTCATAGACTTCAACAGAAACAGCAGAATCAATAGTAACAAGACCATTTGGCTGGAGTCGTACACAAACACGCACTTCTGTAGCGGTAGAATCCTTACGTGGTGTTCCAATCTCCCATTCACCAATTACAAATTGCTCAAGTGGCATATTTTCCTTCACACGGGGACTCTCATTGTCGTAAAATGCGTATAATTTAAAGCCACCAGGTCGCTTGAAGGTAATCTCCAGAACCTTGGGATAGTGATCATTGGGACCAAGCACTGTGACCACCTTATTAATATCTGGAAGGAAAGGCACAGAACTGGTGCTATTAGCGTTCTCCATATAATAGCCAAGTTTAATAGGATATGTTGGTATATCACTTACAACAAATTCCCGTACCTTAAATTTAGGTGAAAAAACAGCAGCCGTAATTGCTGCACCACGTGCAGCAGTTTCAGATGCATTGAGTGTAAAATTTGGAGTTCGTCCTAGCAATTCCTCTGTGGCCTGTTTAAACATAGGAATACGGCATCCACCACCAATCATTTCAATGCTGTGAAATTTGGCCGGAGGTACCCCACATTCATCAAAACCGCGTTTAACAACTGCCTTGAAGCGTTCCAAAAGTTCAGCTGAAAGCTCTTCCATTTTGCTTCGTTGAAATGATGAAATATTAACGTCAATGTCCATAATATTCTCCACATGAAGTTGTGCCACCTGATTACCTGAAAGAAGATATTTGAGTCGTTCACATGCCTGTAAAAGACGCAAACTTGCCCGCTTATTACTGGTAACATCCACATGGTACTTCGTTTTTACCTCTTCTACCATATGCTTGAAAAGTTCATAATCAACATCACGAGTACCGAGGTGACGATCAAAAGTACGGGCCAAAACCTTCAAATGACCGCGCCAGAATTTTGCAACAGAAAAAACTGTTGTGCCATATCCAATGTCGAGAATGCCGACCACTTGTCCTTCTGCCTCTGTCTCGCCCAATGAGGAACCACGGAAGATACCATAGTCAATTCCCGCAGCTGTGGTATCATTAACAAGTGAGAGACAGTTAAGTCCGGCGATCTCACAGGCCTGCAACATCAGTCGTCGTTGTTCTGCAGTATAGTAGCACGGTACTGTTAATACACAGTCACGGGCGTCAGCGGGGACTTTAGGATCAGTCGTTGCAGCCACATTTACGTATACGCGAAGTCGCTGCAGCAGCATTGCCAACACTTGCTCTGGATAGAAGTAGGTCATATTACCGCAGTAGTTCACTCCGAACATGAGACGACCACTTTCGTCACCCTTTACTTCACATGTTAAAAATCGCCGCTCTGCATTAAGATGAGGGTCATCCATGTGCATACCGATGAATCGCTTAAGCAGAAAAACAGTATTTTGCGCATTGCGCACATAGCGGTCGACACCTTGTTCACCAATGAAACGCTCATTCTCTACGAAGGAGACTATAGTTGTAGTCTCTCGTTTGCTTACTTCATTTGTAACGATGTCAACACCACCATGACGCGTGATGGCAACAGTGGAATTTAAATTGCCGAAGTCAATGCCAAATACAGACATAATGGTCACACAAAAACACAAAAATACTTTTTCTCTTAATTCCTTTCCTTTTTTTTTTTTTTCTTTCAACTCGTATCACTCAAAAAAAGTCCTTATGTGGATTTCTTTTTATTCGTTCTCTGAAATCTATTCCTTTCTGTACGCGTTACACAAAAATAGTAAAAAAAAAAAAAAAAAAGGGTGATTGAAAGAGAAAAAAAATGAACACAAGTACATTGGTTTGTACAGACACACTTCAATAATAGCAGCAACAAAAATAAATGTAGCAAACATAAAAAAAAAAAAAAAAAAAAAAAATAGAAAAGAAATTGTGGTCGTTATTATCACTACCATCACCGTTATTGCCATCATAAGTAGAAACAAACAAAAAAAAAGAGGGAATTTATATGCGAAGTTAAAAATAATTTTTTTCTTGACCAGAGTTTTGGTTTTCGCATTTATCCTCTCGTTTTTTCTTGTTTTTTTTTTTTTTGGTTTCTCTTTCTTTTTGTTCTTTGCCAAGAGGAGGCAAAGGTGAAAGTATCATATTCGCCTTTTCCTTCGTGTAGCATAAGGAAAAAATATGAGATCTTCAAATAACAACCAATACAAAGACATACAAACACAAACGAACAAACAACTAGGTACCAAAAAAAAAAATCAAAAAAAAAGAACTAGAGCAACATCAACCATCAATGGAATAAATAAAATAAAATGTATGCTTTAGCGCCATGGACGGTGTAGTGTTGGAGCGCTAGGATGTGGTGATGTATCTATTCCCCCGTTACTATTGCCCCCAACCCCACCACTAGCACCAAGAGCACGTTGGTAGTTGCTATATTGTTCACTATAACCACCAGGGTGTGAAACAAACGATACTGGTGTACTGTATTGTTGTTTTTGTTGTTGTTGTTTCGCCATTGATACCTGACCACCTAGTCTTCGTGCTTGCTCTGCTGCGTCACGGAAAACACGTCCCCATTCTTCGTCTTTTTTGGCAGCCTGTTTGCTTTCTTCAAGGAAAAAGTCTAGCTTTGCTGCCATAGCGTCTCGTTCCTGACGCAAGGCCTCCGTTTCTTCTGCTGAACGTATGGCATCACGCCTGGCATCTTCTGCAGCCTGTCTTAATGCCGGTAGCTGCCGCAGTCGTTCTTGTAAATCATCTAGTTGCTGAGAAAGTTGTTCACAACTAAATGTTTTGGCACGTAATTGCTGCAGATTCTCACGTAAAGTAACATTTTCTTGTTGTACTTCTTGATATTGCTCGTGAAGACGCACATTTTCACGCATAAGGGTTTCTTTTTCAGCATCTATGCGCTCCCGTGGGATGCGTTCTTTCTGCTGTTCTACCTCTACAAATCGAATACGGAGTCGTTGTAACTCCTCCTGAACCGCTGTACGATTTCGATCAAGTTCTCGCATGTCTTTTTTCATCTGTGTCAATTCCTGTAGGTGTTTCTCCCTTTCTTCTTGTAACTCTTGCTCTAATTCATGGTTACGCTCTTGAAAACGTTTTACATCACGTTGAAGTTGAAACACTTCCTCACCAGCTTCAACACGTCCTTCTCGCAGTTGTCCTGCTTCTACCTCTAGTTTTTGCAGGCGTTCAGTGACTTCCCCAAGCTGCCGTTGCTGCTCTTCATTTTCACGACGTTGCTGTAATAATTCAGCCTCTAATCCACTAACAACAGCTTGAGCCGCCTGGCGCTCAGCCCGTTCGTCATCCCGCTCTCGCTCTGCCTCTCGGGTAGCCGTACGCTGATCTCCTAATTCTCGTCGTATCAGGCCCAATTCATGCTCAAGTAACTCTCGTGCACTAGTCATCTCCTCATGGACGGAACGATTTATCTGTTTTTGATGTTCTTCTGCTTGTTGCTTGTAGTTTTCAAAGTACCGAGTGCGAGATTCCAGTTCTCTTTCTAATGATTCTACCTGTTGCTGTAATTCACTCAAATCATGACGTGCTCGATCAGAGCTTTCCAATGCCACATTTCGTTCCTCCTGAAGATGGCGAATACGATTTTCATACTCTTGCTCTACTGAGGAATGATTTTCCTTAAGTTGTTGTACAGTGTTATCCATACGGCGTCTCTCATTTTCTACAAGGGTTTGTAACTCCTCCACTCGTCGCGTCGCTTCCTTTGCTGACGTTTTGCTTTCTTCTAATTCTTGACTTATTTGCTCTACATTCTGTTGTGCCTTGGATAACTGTTCAACAAGGAGACGTGTTCGCTCCTGAAGCGACTCGTTACTATTCATTACTACCTTCATTTGCTCTTCATGTTCTTTTGCCATTTCAATTTGCGCTTCAACAGCTTTCTGTGCCTGATTAAGTTTCTCTGTGGTTATTGCAAGCTGTTTCTGGGTGTAACTATACTGATCGTGTGGGACATATTCCCCTTTACGACGTAGTGAAGTTAACTGCGTGGTAACCGCATCGTACTCACTCTTAAGCTTTGAAAGGTGTTGCCAAAGCTCTTTATTTTCTGCGATAAGGGCGGTTATCATTTCGGCCATGTCACGCTCTGACCCCTCATTAAAGATTGCCATCTGGTCATAAAGGGCGGCAAGTATTGCCTCTGTGGCAGTGATCTTTGCTTCAAGGTCAGTTGCAGCGGATAACACTGCGCTACGGGCGACAAATACAGCGGTTTCATCCTCTTCGTGTGCGAAGAGAAGTGTGTCTAGCGCCTTATCGACTCTACTGACGAGTGCCCTTTGTGCGCTGTGTGCCTCCGCGCGCTGCTGCTGCATCTCTGCGGCGGGGATATATCGCGTGCGATCTTCGAGGAGTCGCTGCACCTCGCGAGGGTCCACCGCCGGTCGGCCACGTTCCTCGAGGAGTTCGCGTCGGAGTCGATCGGCGGCCTGTTCCGCCTCGTGTAGAGCCGCCCGCAGTCCGTCGCGCTCCTCCCGCGCCCGCCCGGCGGCGGCCCGCTCCCGCACGAGATGTTCCTCCAATCGCCGCACGCCGCCCTCCGCTGCCGTCAACTTTTCCACCGCCGCCCCGTAGCGGTGCGTCAGCGCACTGAACTCCACCTTCTGCTCGTTCAACCGCAGCGTCAACTGCGCCACGCGGCCGCTCGCCTCCCGCAGCTCCGCACGTACCGCGTCCGCCTCGCGTTGAACCTGATGCAACTTCTGCTCCAGTAGTCCACGCTGCAGGTCACGCGTGCCAACAAGGTCCGATGACAACTCCGCAGTGTCTCCACTCCGTGGCGGAACAGCAAGAGGCATTGAGACAGCAGCTAGTGCGGAGGAAACAAGTGCATCACTGCTGTAATGATGTGACGCTTCCGGCGCTCGCGGCGGTGACACACCACCGGTGGGTGGATGCCCAGTAGAAGAGACACCACCACCACCACCACCACCACCACCAGCAATAGAGGGGGAAACCAAAACGTCAAACGCGCTGTACTCCGCATTGCGCTCCCGTGTCCCCTGAGAGTCCACCCTGCCACCAGTCGCCAAATATGCGTTATGCGTGGTATCATGCTCGCCACCACGTCGCGCAGGGGAACCAATCAAGTGGGAGCCAGCATCCTGCTGGCCACGGAATGGCTTCATTCTACAGCGACCACAGCGATTCCCACACCCTTATTATTACTAGCTGTAACAGCACCAGTAAAAAAGAAAAGAGAAAAAAAATGCGAAAGACACATTACGTGAAATCGCAACAAGAAGAGTGATAATAGTGAGAAAGCTGGAGGTGGACAAAGACAGGGCAACAAATCTAGGCCAAAAAAAAAAAAAAAACCAGCCCTTCTCTCTCACTCTCTCTCTCTCTCTGTATCTCTGTGTAAGAGGCGGAAAGAAGGGCAGGAAAAGAAACCAAAAGAACAAACAGCAAAAAAAAAGTAAGAAAAAGGGATAAAAAAAAAAAATGTGGAACAATAAGAAGTGGCTTCAAGAACAAACTGGGGAACTCCCCACATCCCATTCACTCTTCTCTACGATCTTTTTGCAAACATTTTTTCTTCATTTTTGATATATTTTCTCGCTTTTTTCTTCGCTAGAATGAAATCAGCACATTTGAACCATGATCTTTACATGCTGACAATTATTCGCACGTAGTAGCTAAAGCAAGAAAAAAAGAAAACAAAACAAAACAATGTAGATAAAAAAGTAAAAATCCCCACTAACATCAACAACCTATCAAGGGGAATCAGCAGAGCTGAACAACAACAATCACGCAAGACTTTTTCTCAAAACATCTTTGATTTACCTGAAAAAAATCAATTAAAAGAGGTGCAATATATCGCAACAAAGGCATATAGCAAAAAGAAAAAAAGAGGGTAATTGTCTGTTGGACGTGTTATTTGTGCAAAGGTATCGGTCCAAACCTATAGAATTGAACGAGCATACAAAAAAAAAAAATTGCCTTATTACACGTACGGTAGAAATAAAGATTTGGTTCGTCCTTCTTTTATTCTGTTATTTTGTTTATATACCTTTAACAATAACTTTCGCAAATATCTATATATATATATATATAGATATAGATATATGTTCCGTTTCCACTACAGCCTTTTTTTTTCTCACTCATCCGCGTTTTATTGTCTCTTACTGTTCGTTTGCGCTCACTTGACTGATCCTGTGGGATCCCCTTTAATTTTTTTTCATTCTTTTTTTTTTTTTGGTTTTGACCTCCATTTGGAGTATATTATATATTCCCCTCTCTTTTTTTCTTTTCCTTTTGAGTAAATATCATCAGAACGTGCCATCCGGCCTTTCGCTAGCTGCGCAAAAAAACGTACGAAACTCATCGTGCATCAAAATAATAGAGCCGTAAGGAAAGAAAAAAGAGAATACCAACAAAGATAAAAAGGAAAGTGAAGGAATGTCAACACATACACACACACATATATATATACAGAAGAGAACCTACATTCACATTGTCACCAAAATGATGACAATCCCGTTAGAGGTAAATAATAATTTGAACACAGATTACCAGTGTATTCATAATGAAACAGTCATTTATCTATCTATCCCCTCCCCAACTCTCTTTCTTCACCAATCTAATTTCCTTGTTGATCACCTGTTCATTTATTTGCTTGAATATTTTTTTTTTTTTTTCGTTTCATACGTTTTTTTTTTTCTTTTGTTTGGTTGTATTTATTCCGTTGTTGCTCTTTGTTTCTTGTTTCTGTTTTATTTATGTCCCAACTTGCCTTCCACGTTTCTTTTTGTTCACCCATTTGGATTTTTCTTCTCTTCAACTCCCTCAGCTTTGCTCACCTCTTTGTAGTTTTCCCTGTGCTTAGGCAAGCGTATTTGTTTGAGTTTCTGTGCTTGGTTATGCAAGCTCATAAGCAAAAAAGCATATCTGCCAATTTGCTGGTAATTCGCGCGCATGCATTTCTCTTTCCCAACACATCAATACTTTTCTTTCACGTTCATCCCTTTTTCCCACAGATGTCTGTCGTATTCCCCTCACACGCCCATTCATCACACTATGTGTTGGTAGGAGGTTAGGGAGGGGTGATAACCGATAAAGAAAATGATGGGAAAGTGCAACATCATGTCTTGCGAGCAAGAATAACCATATCTAAAGGGAAGATGGCATACATGAGGAAACAGGAAAAAAAAGCAGAATGTGGACATTCATCTGAATAAAGGGAAAAAAAAAGCAATAAGTATGCAAAAAAAAAAACTAAAAACTTTGCGTTTTCAAAAAAGTACCATAATACTTAACTAAAGTATTTGACTGATAGGGTATGTGTCCGCCATGGTACATCGCGGCACAGAGTCGCTGCCTATTTCCCCCCCATTCATTGCTCACTTTTTCTTTTTTTTTTTTTTTTTTTCTTGTCTCCTCTTTCTTTTCCTTTTTCTATCACTCGCCTAGTCTTACTCGCTACGCCAGCATATCTTTCTCTTTCCTACTTCGGCCTTTGCTTCCTCTCATGACTGCATTTGGGTATCAAAACACCCATATACATGACGTGCAATCCTAAGTCGATTTAAAGAACATGTACCCAAAAATTAATTCAATCACATTCATTAATGGCATAGGGACTCGTCAAGTTAGTAAGCAAAGAAGGAAAGAAAAAAAGCTTGTACGGAGTAGCAGTAGCAGAATCCATAACAACAACACCTGCAACAGCGGTATGAAAAACCACTGCATGAGTAATAGAATAAGAAAAAAGAGTGACAATAACATTGGTTTCGCTCCGCTGTCCCATCCCTTTTTTTTTCTTTTTAGATCACCTTTCACCAGATATAATCGTTATGCACTTTTTTTTTTATCGTTTTGCAGGGAATAGACGCATTAAAAAAAAAAAAAAAAGATAACACAAACAAACAAACAAAAAAAAAAAAAAATGAGTCTCCTCTTTATGCGTGAAAAGGTGAGAAAGGAAGCATTTCTGTGTCGTTATCTTGCGTTCATCTTATCTTGTTACTCCTACTTAGCGAGGGTTAGGGGGTGATCTCACTTGTTCCAACAGTCTTCCCCAATCGACCATGCGTACAAACTAAAAGGGGCAAACTTATGTACGCACGGGTCGTATAAAGAGAGTTCAATAAAAAGAAAACGAAAGAAATAAGGAATCAGAGAAAGAGAAAAAAAAAAAAAAAACATAAAAGCCACACTGATGAAAGCCGCAAAACAATTCAGATTTTACATGCTGTACAGACGAGCACTTCCACTCCGTGAAGCATTTTGAAGCTGTTGATAGGTTTTTGCGTAAAAATCTGTCGTAGGCACACCTCCATCACCCCCAGAAGAAGACATACCATTACTAGAACTTCTCACACCGTTGGAATTTCCCGTTGAATTGGGGGTAGAGAGAAAGGGAGTTCGGATTTTATCTTGCTCTTGTTGTTGTTGTTGCTGTTGTTGTTGTTGTTTTCCAACAGCTACAGAGGCCATCTGCGGTACGTTCATCGTCTGTAAGGACATCATGGGGTGTACAGGGTACTGCTGCTGCGACCCTAACGTGGCAATCAGGGTCAGAAACGAGTTATCAAAAACAGGCTGAAGAGGCAACGCCTCTGAAGCCCCATGCGGCAAGTAAAGGAGTGTGCCTATACTGTACGGTTCATCAAGGAGTGGAGAGGGTCTCACAGTTATGTTGCGCTGCAAATTAACTCGCTGCGAGAACAGAGAAAAGAGTTGAGAGACAATACTACTAAGTTGTTCCTGCGTGACCAGCGAACCTGCACTTCCATTCTGTGCACCAGATGATGGCGTGTGCCCAACACCTGCTAACATTTGCGCTTCGGGTGAAGAAGCATTGGCGCCTTCTTCGTTGTTGTTCGACTCCCTAAGCATCATGAGAAGCTCCTCTAGGTTTTCGCCTTCAGTTTGGTCGCACTGAAATGAGACACCGGATGCTGAGAAAGAACCACTGGTAGTCATTGATGGTATGGTGGGGATAGTAGGATGAGGTTGGGAAGAAGATGATGGTGGTGGTGGTGTAGTAGTAGAAGTAGTAGTAGCAGCAGTAGCATTACTAGTAGTACTAGTAGCACCAGGAATTCCCACCAGAGACGATACACCAGCGTCCTGTTGCGCCATCATATTTCTTGGAAAGTAGGGTGTTGCCAAGGCATTGCAATTGTGTAACCAGGAGAGCTGAGGATCCGAATTTACCAAAAAAGGAGGCACATTGATGTTAATACCGGGATTTAAATTTTTCATTTGGGTACCATGATGATTTTCTAAAATATGGTTACCCATGACAGTGCTGATATTGTTGTTACTATTGTTTCCGATAGCACCGTTATTATTACTACTAGAGTTGCAATTACCATTGTTAGGGCGGTGCTGTGGAATTGACAGCGTATTTGCAGAACTCCTAGTATCCAGAAGAACTTTAGGTGCCCGTTTAAAAGAGCCTTGAAAAGTGGGATCAAGGAAAACGACATGAATAAAATTGCAATGTTCGCCTGCAAAACATGTCTGATTCGCATCATAGTATTTGCATCGCATTAGTGGCTCTGCAATATCGTGGCGTGCAAGTGCCCCTCTTGTGACAAGGACTCGCTCACTGGGTATTGACTCAACGGTACACATATCTCCGGAGAGTACCTCCAACATTTCACCAGGAGGGAGACGCTTGTACATGCAGAGATCCTCGCTACGCCAGACGTAGTTCACATGAATCGGATACGCCTCTAACATCCTTATGTCCACATCCGCATGGACAAATTTGCAATTATCTCCCATTTTACACGAGTCTGGCTCATGGGCTCTGTAGTTGCGGCAGAAAACAAGTCGTGTGATGTTGAGTCGTGCCGAAGGTGTATGCACGACAAGGTGGGGTGGCACCTTATACAAGCAGCGGAACTCGGCGTCAAAAACTACAGTTGAATCGTGCGGTGCTGCATCTTCGTGTTGCTCTTGTTGTTGCCGGAGACATGAGGGGAGATTAGTGCCGGTGGAGAGATCGTTCGCCTGGTTCCACTGCTCCCATATCTCATCGAGGGTCCGCGGCGAGAAGCCAACAGCATTCGCATAGTCAAGATTCATTGAGTAATCACCTCACACACCCGCCTTGTGGTTTATGGCACCTCTTGCTACTGTACTAATCCCTTTCCTTTCCTTTTCTTTTTACTTTACCCGCTTAGTTTTGTTTTTCGTTTGTTGTAGTTGTTGTTCTTTCTGTTAAGTTTGCCTGGTAATTTTTCTTTTTTCTTCTGATTTCACTTTTTTTTTTTGTGTGTGTTACGTTCGTCGTGGCTCTTTTGTATCTTTTTGTTGTTGTTGTTATTATTTTTCTCCCTCGCCGTTATTTTGCTGCCTGCTTTCTGTTTTGCTTTTCGGATTAAGCAAGCAGACGTACGTGAAGTTCCTCTTCAGATGCCACTACTCGACCTATTCGCTTCCCTCTTTTTTTTTCTTTACACAAAAGAAAAACAATAATTATAGTAACGTGGTTGCAAGAACTATTTCTCTTCCTCTTTCTCTCTCTCTCTCTTTGCAGTCAACACTAGTATTTCCTTTTCTTATGTATTAGCTCCCACAACTAAAATACAAAACAAAAAAAAAAAAAAAATAGAGAAAAGAGCAAAATAAGATTTTTTGTAGAAAAAGAATAGTACAGAGACAGAGGAATGTAGATTTAACGCAAGATTTGGTTTTTCTTCTTTCTTTCGTAAACAAAAGTCATCTAGTCTCCTCCGTGAAGGAGTACATGTCCCTTCAGTGTGCGAAGAGGGGAAAATGGGGTAAAGAAAAAACAAACAAATAAGAAAATCTGCTTTCCGTATCAAGTACGATAAACCAGAAATATTTCGTACGTGGATTCTCTGAAGAAATAAAAAAAAAAAAAACAAGTAAAAATACATAAACCCGTAAATTCCCCTTTTTTCTGATGACATTCACCGTCACCATATATATATATATATATATATAT